GCTGGGTGGCCGCTATTTCGGCCACCATCTCGGCCAGCTCTTCCCTTTCCTGGCTCTGGTAGGTACCCGCCATGCCGCCTCCTGGGTTTCGGCACCAATGTGGCATGAATAAGGCACGGCGGGACCACGGAGCGACGTTCAGAGCCAACTTTATTGTAGTCACGTCACACCACACCACCACCAACCCCTGAGTCCCCGTGTTTTAACACGGCGGGCGTGATTGCGGATGCCGTGCAGGTGCGTCCGCACGGCACCGCAGACCACGCCCCACCACATCCGGGTTCTGATAGAAATGTGTCTGATTTCACAGTGCATCACATTTATTTGAGTATGGGGCTGCATAGCCGCAGATCAGTCAGGGTACCATCTTGATCCTTGTTATCAGAACTGGACCACGAACTGGTTGATGGCTGTGGCCTACTTCAGCAGGATAATGTACCCTGCCAAAATAGTTCAGAAATAGTTTGAGTAGCACAATAACGAGTTTGAGGTGTTGATTTGACCTTTAAAATCTCCAGATCTCAAGCCGATCAAACACCTGTAGGATGTGCTGGATAAATAAATCTGATTAATTGAGGCTAGACTTCATAGCTGACAGAGCTTAAAGGACCTCTTGCTAAGTTTTTGGTCACAGCCAAGAAGTTGCTAATGAGCAGCAAAAGTGTAAAGTAAGTGTAAGTTCCTTCTGTTCCAGAAATGTTTAAGCTAGATGGCTAATATGTATTTACGTGTAAATGTGTTTATCAGGGGCTGGGTCTGTGACCTAGCATTTTGAGTTTGTTTTGTATTTTGTATTTTCTTATGTTTAGTATGTGAGTTCTTGTGTTATTCTTACTTAGGGTCTAGTTGAGTTTTAGTTTAGCCAATATTATCATCTATGTCTCCTTGGTTTATGTGTCATGTTTCCTTTCCAGTTTATCATGAGTTTCATGTCTGTGTTGTGTCCATGTTGTCAACCTTGAGTGTCATGTCTACGTCTCTCCATGTTTCCTGTTTTATTCTGAAGAGACCAGTGTTTCCATGTTGAGTGTGTTTTGTTTTACTTCCCACTGTGGTGTCATGTTCATTTGTGTCAGCTGTGTCTCTCCAGGTATTTCCACTTCCTTAATTACCCTTCTGTGTATTTAAGTCCTCTGTCTCCTTCTGTTCTTTGTTGGGTCATCTGTTTGTTTTCATGTCAAGTCTGAGAGTTTTTGTTAATGTTAATGCTCTGTTTCGTGTTTGGTTTGTTTCATAGTTACGTTCTCGCATGATCCTGTCCAGTTTCATGTTCTTGCCATCGTCATTATCCCAGTTTAAGTTTCAGTTTAGTTTCACCCTTGTTTTGCTTTGCCTTGTTTTTCTGTTTTTTGTATCAGCTGCAATGTTTTTTTGTTTAGACACCAGTTCATTTCTCCCGTGTCTGCATTTTGGGTCCTTTCCATAAAACACAACGGCATTTCCTGCTGTAACAGTGTTGCTTTCTCGTGATTATTTTTCTTGTGTGGTTGAAATAAAATAACTCCTTCTACTGGTACTGTAGGTTACTGCGACTTCTGCATGCATGCCCATTTCACTCGTTGGCAGCAAAAGATGAACTACCACAATATTAGGCAGGTGATGTCAGTGTTTTGTCTGATCGTAGAAGATGAAGCAGTCAGGTATCATCTACAATGATCCTTTCGGTAGGTGTCAAATGTTGACCTAATGTTAGCTCAAATTTCTGACAGGTTAATCCTCAGTCCTGAACATCCGAATGCAACAAATGGACTTCAATCCTGACCAAGTCCAGGTAGGTAGTCGGAGAGCAAAGAGGTGGAACAAAACTGAGTCAAGGAAATACGGCCTTTAAGTCTGACATCATTAGCCGTTTCTGGATCCAAACTCCACTTCAGGTCCCAAAGTCAAACAAACTCTGCGGCATCACTGAGAGTTAAAAACTGTCTAAATCCTTTCATCTGTAATAAAATGAACAGTGTGGCTGCTCTATCAGGTGTAGCAATTAATTTTAACATCCACTAGATTCTACCAAAACAGAATCTATGAAGTTAGCATTGAGTTAGCTCACTAGTTTCCATCTAAAGATGATATACCATGTTCTGACTGAGGGATTTTTGAGAAATTAAAATGTACAGCTAGCTATCATCTCCGACATAAATGAAGACAGAAAATTAAACAGCAGTGACGTTTGTAGGATTACTGAAGTTGGACTAGCTGGTATATAATGATGTGCTACTTTTTGGCTAGCTACACAGCTATGGTTAGCATAATATAAACACAGTTAAGCTGGAGGATGAATGTAACTTTTTTTCCACTCAATAAAAGTTAACAGGAGGGTTCCCAATGGTCAGGGACAAATGCAATCACACGGCAGGATGCTGTAAATGGACAAAACTTTAGTCAGGAGAACAACTGAGATAATCTATCCACAATATGAGGTTAGTCATTAACAGACTGCTGCATGGGCTGGGCTGTAGCTACATCGTAACGTTTTAAAAACTGAGCTTTAAAATAATTAGTGGTAATAAAAAACAGGAGGACTGACAGTGATCACTGTTCTTTGTTAGGGGGTTGTTCAGATTAAATAGAACAAGATACAAAGCATTAAAACATGTTAAAAACACAACAGCTTTAATGGACCCAGAAGCAGGGTTCATACGTTGTGAGTTCACAACTGTAAACATTTAAATATATCACAATGAAAAGTCTAACCGCTGCACTAGTCCTACACTTGTGTTACAAGGACAAGCAGGCACAGAAAGGTAACAGTGGTTGCATCCTGTCAAACACAGTGCCTTTTACCATCTTTCTATTTAGATGTGTCAGTGCAACGGCCTCTGTGGTTTCAGCAGGATGTGCTCTTACGCTCACACATACTTCATGACCCAAGGACCACTTGCTGTAAACACCCAACAAAACTGTAGTTTTCCACAGGTCTTGTTTATTTCATGCTGCAACTCATATGAGCTCAGAACCATTATTGTATAACAGTGATTATGCAAACAGCAGTTGAGTAGAGAGTAAAATAATCTGACACAGATGCTGAAACTCAGTAAAAATGATATGAATTAAAAATGTGACATTGCATTTATGCAACTTAAGAGCAACGATTTCCTAATCCTGAATGTTAAACATCAAAATCCTGTGTGAATACAAATATTCCTGATTATCTCTTTCTGGACCCAGAAGTTGCCGTTTTCTTGTTTAACCTTTTATTATCTACAATGAGCTCACTGCCAGAATCAATATTCTGTATACTCAAGTTATTACTCAACATATGTTTTTAATTAAATGTGTTTTCATTACAGAGTGGGGTATACTGGAAATGCAGGTAAACTGGTCCAATAAAAAAAAAAATTGATCATTTTCTAAAGTTTTAGATCTGATTCCGATTCATAATTTTTGAATATAGGCTATGTCTAACCGTGTAATTCTTCTTAGATATCATACTGTATTTTCCACTACAGGCTGCAGTAAACATGTGATCATGACTTCCATACAGTAGATACTGTGTCACCTCTGGCTGGCCAATCAAACACATTCTTGCCTCTCAAAAGCAGCACAGTAACCTTCATTTTACATGAGAATCTTACCACAATGGTGTCTTCAGTGTTTGTCTTCAGGCTTCTGTGCCTGTTCTTGGGAAAAATGGGTAAGTTCCATTATCATGAATTCAGATTTTTGTATTGTGAAGTTATTACATTGAACTGAATGTACATTTGTTTGTTTTTTTCAATTCCACTACAGTTCAGATGACAGAGTCGCAAATGTTCCAAATGTTCTCATCTGTTCATCCAGAGTCTCGTTTCATATCAGCTCAAGTTGGTGGAAACCTGACATTAAAATGTTTCCATGATGGTGACAGGTCTGCAAGACTTTACTGGTTTAAGCAAAATCTGGGACAAAAACCAAAGATCATCTCTCACTTTTTCAAATATAATGTGAACAACTCGTCTAATGAAGAGCTCAAGAATAACCCACGCTTCACACTGGAAACACAAGACGGCAAATATCACTTGATGATCAAAGATTTGCAAGTTTCAGACTCAGCTACTTACTACTGTGTTTACTATTTATACACTTTAACCTTTTTAGAAAACATCATCGTCAGTGTAAAAGGTTCAGGTGTGAACATCAAAGCTGTGGTCCAGCAGTCAGCATCTGAGACCATCCAGCCAGGAGGCTCCGTGACTCTGAACTGTACAGTACACACTGGGACCTGTGATGGAGAGCACAGTGTTTACTGGTTCAAAGACTCAGACGAATCCCATCCTGGACTCATTTACACACATTTGGGCAGAAACGATCAGTGTGATAACAAACCCAGCACACAAACGCACACCTGTGTCTACAGCTTGCCAATGAGTAACCTGAGTGTTTCTCATGCTGGGACCTACTACTGTGCTGTTACCTCTTGTGGACGCATACTATTTGGAAATGGGACCAAGCTGGAGCCTAAAGGTGAGTAACCTTTTCTACATGTTGCTCACTTTATCAATATTTAAAGATATAGACAAGAAAAAGCTCTGTTTCTGGTGTGTTGCAGGCACGTTTAATTCTCAGGGCTTGGTGTATTTCTTGAGCGGAGCTTTGACATTCAGCTCCATCCTCAGTGTTTTACTGGGATACTTGCTGTACAAGACAAACAAAAGAAACAGGCACCAATCGACAGGTAAGTGGAGTCTTTTAGGCTTAGAACGGTTTTAGCTAAAGTTGGATT